CAAACCAACTAGCAATTGTCGAAGGTTGTGAAGAGATGCTCCCTGCGGGTAAAGAATTCAAGGAAGGACTTGTAAATGCCGAAACTACATTGTGTTCATTGACAATAACAATTATGGTAGTTGTTGGAAGTTCAACCACCAGCTTCTTAGCATGTCTGATTATCACAAGTGGAACTATAAGTATTGAAGGTTGTGGTACAAGTAGTTTACGAGGTTATGTCAATGTTATTCTTGTTTTTGACCTTGAGAGAAGAAGTTATTATGTAAGGAAATATATGCTTGGTATTAATTTGGCTGCTGCAACCGATTATCCTTGTCATGGCTTGACTCCAGTAGTTCACTACGATTTCAAACCAAGCAACAATGAACTGCAGGGTACTCTAAATGAGAGCAATGTCTTAACAAAATTTCTTGAGTTTATGATCACAAGAAACCTTTGCCAGCATGGTTCAACAATGACCTTGAGGACAAGGTCAATTTCAAGTGGGAAGGATTGTTATGATCGGGAATTAGTTATCAAAGGAGGTCACGTGTTGGGCTTGTTCTCACGTGAGTTAATAACTTTCAACTCTTATTTCACCGATGTGGAAACTTTCCAATATATAGAGACAAGCAAGCGGTGAACTGGGTATTCAGAATTTTAATCCATTTTCGTAGCTTCTGCTTCTCACTTCTCTTTCTCTCTCTGTGTATCTCTTCGCTCCCTTCTCGTCTCTTCTCTTCTCCTTCTTCTGCTCTCCTCTTCTTCTTAATTCTTCTTATTCATTGAATTAGGTAGTTCGATTTAGGAATTGATGTATTAATTCTCAAGCCTGTAACTGATTGTATAAATTCGTTTGATCAATAAACTTTCCAATTTAGTTTCAATTCTTGAGTACATTACAAAATAAGAGAACCAAAATCATTGAAGGTCAAGGAATCCAATTTATCATGATTTTCATTTAGTAATCTTTTGATGTCAGAACCAAATTGTCTGGCTTGGAGTTTGCATGGTATTCTTTATCTTCAATGGATGTGGTAACTAACATATGAAACCCCTCTTCACGGGAAGAACAGATGGAAGAAATTGAAATCTTGGAACCTGACAAAAGCCATAAGAATCAATGTTGTGTTTATCCCTAGTCCTACAAAGAGAATAGAGAGCAGATGAAGGTTTGTGGAAGAAATGCCTTTAAAATCAGCCGTGGTTTGTTGAAGAAAGTTATTTGTCAAAGAACGCGTGTTAGAGGTCTGGATTGTGTTAAGACTCCATCACATGTCTTCAGACCCAATATTATAAGTGGTAGAATCTTACAAAAATCAAATGCTGAAGGATCCAGATTCAGACCCTCATTACTTATCATCATTACAAAAATTATATACACTACAAAAAAACTATTGATTAACTTTTTATATTTTACATTTGCATTACATATTGGATAAAAATGTAACTACAATTATCATTTTAAAACTTGATTATTTTCTTTTATCCATCATTTGGCCTTTTAATTTAATACAAACTTATTTACCATAAAGGATTATCATCTTTGGTAAAACATTACAATTATTTTTTTAAGTTTCGGTATTTCCTTGTGTTTATTATTTCAATTTTTACATTTTTCTTATTTTCTTGTATGGTCACATTTTGAACACAATATCTTTTTTATGTTTCCAAAGATGTTATTTTTAACTTTTTACTCGCACAAGTTTTTTTTAGTTGTCATGGTTATTTAAAATAATTAGTCTAAATACTTGTCATTTTAGAAAATTAAGAAAGCATTAATTAATTTTTTTTCATTTTTACACTTACGCTAATAGATTTTGCAAGAGATTAATATAGTGAAAGCAAGAGTAGTAACAAATTGAGATCAAAGATAAAAAAGATAATTTTATCAAAGTATCTTTTAGTTAATATTTTCTTAAGAGTGTATAAAAGTCAAACATGACAACTAATAGATTAAGAAAAGAAGTGATATAGGGACGCATTAGATACTACTAATAGATTAAGAAAAGAAGTGATACAGGAAGGCATTAGATGCTATTTTCGAGTCTTTTTAATTAATACAGAATTTCATAATTTTCCTACATAGTAACATAGAAATGCATAAAAGCTTTTTTTTTCCAGATTTTAGGTTCTTACTTCAATATCACAAATTATAATTAAATTTTAGTTCTCCGAAGATGACCTCTTTTAACCAAAACAAAACCATCATTTGCCTCAGAAAGCTACAATATATTTAAAGTTTTCATTAATTGACCTTCCTAATGATTAAAAAAAAAAATCATTATCTTCTTGTATGGTCATGACTAGTACTTGTCAATATTAAATAAAGTAAGATAAGCAACTAAACGATTGGTAAAAGTTTTTGTATCCTTTTGTTTCTTTGTGATAATATATAGGTTCTACCTTTTTGTTTCGTTATGATAATAACAGCATTCGACTCCTGAGCACATCTGAAAGATTAAGCAAAGTTACACATTGATGAGCAACATTTGCTAGTATTAGAATGACGGAAAATGCATGTTGAAATCAGAGGATTGCTAAAACCCTGCGTACAACAAATACAGAGGAACCTATCCATATATTCAGTTGTACACAAAAGTTTCATAAAAATGACTAGGTGCATTTCATTACTGCAAAGAAACTTTAGTAATGACTAAACACGGATGAGAGCGCACAAAAATGAGCGCCGCACTCCTAGTTTGCAGTATCCAGAAAGGTCAGGAAATCCACATTGTGCCCATCATTTCCCAGTGAAGCAATATTTTGTTTCACTACTCCTAGTTATCAGTGTCTTCGTCATCCTTCATGTATTTCTCCTGCACTGCTGCAACTGTTAATTGGCATGTCAAGGTCAACAAACATCGGAACCAGCCATTGGAAAATCAGATCTTGTTCTACAAAAAATCGATTACACATCCTTCGCATTTAATATTTATTCTTAAGAATATCGTATTTTTTATGATTTCCGAAGATATGAGCACCAGCAGAATAGAGCTAAAAGTGGCAGGCCAAAATAGGAAAGTACAAGCAATAAAGTGATCCGATAAGTTATAAACATTCGGTTTTGGGAATCTGCAGAATAATGAATAAATGAATAAAAATCTAAACTTCCTGGTCGGGTCAAATGAACGATCTAGTATGCACAAAATCACCAAGTTGAACTCACATCAGAAAGGTCAAAACAAAAGAAATAAGTGAAGAGGGCAATACAATCAACCACATTATTATGCCTGCCTAAATTTTGACCTCAAGGAATGACATCCATTTATATGTTAAACCATGTGAAAAAGGATATCTGTAGTAGTCCCAATCAACAGGACCAACTGCAATTTTGCTGAATTCAACAGCGCTTGCATCTATTCCAGCAAATACGTATCCATTGGTCTTGTCAATCAGTTTAACTAGATTTCCAACACTCTCTTTATCCTGAAATTGTAAATAAGCTTAAGAAACTAATAACTATATTAATAAAGAGTACAGATGATATCTTGGCGTGGAAGTTGACACTCTCAATCACATCATACCTGAATATCCAAAGTCGTGAAGTTGACGATTCCAAAATCTTCTATCACCTCACAAAGCTCCTTTGTAAGCTTTCTGCATTATTTAAGTATCAAACCAAAAAATACAACGTTTAGATAAAAAGATCCTTAAGCTTCTGCACTTTCTAAGTATTAGATCGAAAAACACAATGTTTAGATGAAAAGATCCTTTATGGTTATTTCGATCATGTAAAGCACTATGATAATGACCGCCTTCCTATTATAAAAGATTAGTGAAAGGAGGGCTACTAAAATAAGGTGATGTAGATACAACTAAGCACATAAAAAAGAACACGAGAAAGAAAACAGCGTTCTGCTTTCCTTTTTCCTCCCTCCATTACCTTACCTTAATTCTGCCAAAGGTAGAGGTCCAACACATTAAACTGGCACATAACATATATAAAACCATGAAACGCTCTCTTCAAAATTGTAGTAGTATAGCATCAAGTGCAGAAATTATTTACTCCTCAAGCTGGTAGAAATATATACAAAACCGGACTCCAGCAAAATTATTTCCTAAAATCTCTGTCCTAGTTTCATTAGAACAGTCAGAAACTACAAAGTAACCACAATGTGTTATGTGGTGCCTGCAAGAATTAAGTAGAGTTGAAAACAGATCAGCTATCATTTGACGGGTGTTCTTAAAGAAAGGTTCAAACACCTATACTTAGCAGAGCGAGGATCCTGACCGAGCTCATACTGCAAATACGATAAATCTTGGACATCTGTGTAGAAGTCCAGGTTAAAAGCTGCAAGAACAAGAGAAATACAGAATAAGCACTTCATAGTAGCCACAAAGGTGTTTCATACCTATAACTCTAATCTCCAACAGAAAATTCCAAATTCCAAAAAGATATTCTCCAGAAGAATATGACAAACTAACCTAGCTTTCCATAGCTTTCAATAAGATCAATCTTAGACAGAACGTTGACATGCGGAAGCTCCAAGTGTAACATAGTTGATAATGAGAGGAGCAATGCACTCACATATTTCCCTGGATCACTGCAAAGATGGGCATCAACTAAATGGACTGCGGTCAACTGCATTAAATAAACACCAAAAAATGAGCAATTTAGTTTTAACAAGAAGCATAATAGTGAAGAATGAAAAAGATGAGATAACTCTAAAAAAAGAGACTAACCCTAAGATCTAACTTCTTTATAAGTTTCATTATCATTTTCTTCGCATTCTCATTAAGGAAAAATAGTTCCACCTGACCCGGGAAATCAAACAGAAGATAGTGCTCTGCAGCAACAACAAAAAAAGTCAGAACAAGCTGGGAATACTGCAGTCTCCACATTCTCAGAATGTGTAAACTGCGCAAGGAATTTCCATGAATGTGCTGAATCTCAGGAACTCAAGGTGCTCAAACAACTTTTCTGAAAATGCCCATCCTCAACACTTTTTCTCTAACTCGTCAAAAGATAGTTAGCAAACTCAAGCAAGTAAAATATTGTTGTAAATAAGCATATTTAGTAGTGCTTTTTAGCCCACGCCTGACTAAGTGTGTTATAGCTCCATCACATTCGACACGTTGAAACAAGTTTAGATTGACAGAAACCATTACCAGTGAATACATAAAATCATCAAATCTCTGAAATCCAGGATGTAAAATGTACATGAACTATCAAAGGCAGCTCCAAGTCACTGCCAGAATGGAAAGGCAGTAACAACAATTACACTATCTATATAATTTTATTTATCAGTATTTACACTATCTATGTTGGTTGTGACTGAAATTTTTCTTTTTCTTTTTCTCGCAAATTGGAGGTTGGTTCAAGTATAAGTGTATAACATGGTAAGAAGGATGTAAAAAATGGCAGAGAGGAAAATGGACAGATTAGCTGAGAAAATATTGCATCGATGCAAAACGACTGGCACTTCCCACATAGAAATGAAACTTTGAGACCCTTAACAACAAATTGTGAACTTCCCCTGATATACCAGACAACATTAAAGTGGTATAAACACTTCCATGATGGAAGGAACGCCAAGCCAGTTCCTTTTCATCTTCATTGGGACAATGTAATGAGTAAAGATAAGTATAGAGTGATCTAATTTTACTAACCTACCAAGCATAGATCGAAGATAAGTATACATTGATCTCAGCCAAAGTTTACTAAACTTCAGATTGAATTGTAACAACCTTTAAGGAGAGGTTTTAACTTAGACTCTAACCAGTCAATATTCTTCTCGAGATAGTCCATGCAATATACAAGGCCTGCAAAATAATAGAAAAGATTAGTTAACAATAACTTTTGCACCAAAAGTAGGTAATGGAGGTAGCCCACGAATCTGCAGCAACGTATTGTACCAGCAGCGAGTGATATGACGGTAGCTTCAATAACTGGTAACTGTTAAATAACAGACTGCATACTAATCTGGATAGAAGTGGGAAAACGCGGACTTACCTCCATTGGGACCAAGAGAATGTTCAGCCATTACATCACTCAGCTTAATTAGATCCTCAATATTCACAGCACATTCATATCTTTATCAGTTAAGGAAAAACGTAACCATATACACCGTTTTCCTACTTAATTAACAATGCATAACACAATTGAAGTCCGGACTATTGACTTCATCTGGCTGCCATCTCTTAGCTCATTCTCTATTGGATGTACTGGAACATACAATGAAACAAATATTAGTGTTTTCACTAGTAATTGTTGCTCAATCATATGGAGTAGCATTTATCCAGACTGACGTATAGGAAAACACCTTGTCTAGCAAGAGAGGTACTTTTGCTTTATTTTAGTAGAAAAAGTACCCTAGCTTAATCAGATAAAAGGAAAAAAATATGCAGACAGAGAAACAGTAGCAAAACCCAATGCAATCCTCCATTCTTTCTTGACGCTGCTTCTGATTCTCAGTTCCTCTATCATCCAACTTCATTACTGTTCACCCTTAAATCTGCATTTTGTTCCTTTTTCTGATCCAACGATATTCCACAGTAGCCCTCTTTATTCCATTTAGTCCACAACATTAAGATTTCACCCAACATACCACTATTACACCAAGAATCTACTCCCAGCAGAGTACAGACAAAAGAAAATCAATTATAGAAGAGTACGCTAAAGCCAATTGGTGATATGTGTAACTAACAAATTGGCAAGCTATTGAACATAGCCCATTTTCCGCCTCCGCAGTCGCAGAGCAACAGCGATTGAATTAAGGCATGCACCAAAACTGGTGCTGAATGTCCTTTTGCTGTTTGCAGAATAATACCTTCTGCTGAATATCAAACAAAGAATGACAGAAAAATTTTCAGGAGTTCAGAATTCAATCTTACAATGACGATGAACTACGACTATATCCTATATTAGATAGACTTAGGCTTGTGGTATGTGTCCAGTATGGGTATGTTGGAGTTAGCAACATTTTAAAGTGCGTTTGAAGGATCTGAACAAAGTACCCATATCCATTATTCTGTGCGTTTAAAGTGCGTTTGAAGGATCTCAACACATATGAAGATTAAATGTAACTTTGCTGCTGCCTAGTGCCACTGTATAAAGACACATAGAAGAAAGTGGAAGTAACCCAATGGTTGACAAACGCCGTGCATTACTTTCTTGTAGTTGGATCTGAGTCTAGCTATTGGCCATCTCTCAAGGTTTTGGTCTAAAGCCCCCAAGTATAATTTCCTAAGGTAACTAGAGATAAGGATAGAAATGAACATAAGAATGTAAGGAGTTGAGAAGCCGAAATGGAAATCAAGAGCTCCCTTTTTCAGATGGTGCACTAGCCAACATGCACGCACGTTGACTATTTCAATTTTCACCAGATACTGGTTAACTCTGCCAACAATACATAGCAGATGAGGAAAAAAATCTAACTTTTTAGCCTCTGTTGGTATTCAGATACTTGTCTCCCATGATTTTCGTTCCAACTTTATCGACCACTAAGCTACACTCTTGGGTGCAAAAGCTCTATTGTTCAAATTATAATCTTGGTATAAATAAAGCAGCTATTATGTGTAGATAGTTGGATGGATTTTTTCAGAACTTAACGTAAACTTCTGTAAGATGCATATTAGTAAAACGATTTAGACACACTAAAAGAATTACTCTACTACATTCCAATTCATTTGTAAGTTGTTAAAGAAGTCCTAAATTGCGCTGAGTACTTAGTTACAAAGGAAATAAAAAAAATTAAAAAAAAATAAAAAGGAAAGAACCAAGACAGAAGGAAAAAGAGATTATGTAGATATTTCTTCAGATAAAGTTCATGGTAACTAGCAATATTTTCAATCAAGGAGGAAATTAATGATTAAAAATCTCAGTATTCAAGAAAAGATAACGATAATAAAGAACAACCTTACAAGATAACCAAAAAAAAAAAAATCAATCACCTCATAGATGACGTATAAAGAACAACCTTACAAGATAACCAAAAAAAAAAAATTTAATCACCTCATAGATGACGTCACATTATAAACAATGACAGAAGACCACTCGCCTTTTAGTGACACTGTGTATGTCTGTGGTTGGGAGCAACAAAGTAAAACTGACTACATAGACATCGCATTTCACATCACTAAGCTCCTTTGGGGATAATTTTGTTGATAAGGAAAGATATATAAAGGAACGCCTAGATCTCCTCAACCTTAATATAAATCCAAGACTCAAGCTCCTAAAAGAACTGCTCAAAAATGTACTAAAGATGCTAACATATAACTGAAATGACAAAATCCTAGACATTTTTCTCAGATATCTTGGCTTCTCCTGGATGCAACAAAGGAACTATTACCCAAAGCAAAGCCTTCGAGGAAATCTCTTTACAATGGTTCAGTGTTTGTTTCTTTTTATATGGTTTCACTGTATAAACCCAACAATCTTCCTGAATTAGACATCAAAATATGTAATCCATACATTGTCAAAGAAACTCAACTTAAGTGGATACGGTAAAGAATCATTAGCCGGATCCAAATTGATAACAGCAACTTTCCTGCAATCCAAACAATCAAGAAGGATATCAATGTGAGTGATCAGATTACAATTAATTCAAAATGTCTGCCGCCAATCGCTGGCAATTACCAATGTATTAATCAGTCAACCATCTCCATCCAAACAACTTGGGGCCAACTAAATGAAACCAATATATCCATTCCACTCTATTTCGAACCTTTTTGTTCCAATATCAAGTAATTTATCTTTTACTCCTCTCTTTACACTGACATGGAAGTTTCTAACCACACCAAAAAGTCAAATAATAATTACAACAACAATGACAACAACAACCACCCAGTATAGTCTCACAAGTGGGCGCATGTAGAGAGGCTACTTCCAGTAGACCCTCGGCACGAGGAAAAATGAGAATAGAGTAGCAGCAACAAGCAGTAACGAGAACAAGATAAAAGAAAACAAGGGGAATTCAAATTATAATTAAATAACCTATTCTTTTACATCTTAAAATCATGAATTAGTGGAGTACATTGGCACTCAAATTCAAAATTGTTCTTGCATACAATAGAAGAAACCAAAGACCCATAAAAATCCGTTCTTTATAATCAAGAATTACAGAAGTTCCACAGAGCTCTCTTTCTTTCTTCACATATGAGGACTGCATGGGAGTAAGCTAGTCAGTACATAAAAGTTGCTACAAGCTTACAGGAACAACTAACTCAACAAGAACCTATACTCATGGCACTCCTTTTACCAAATGCTGGAGATTATGTTTCACTAGAGGAAAACTGATCGGTATCAAGAAGTAATAAACTCCAACAACAACAACATACCCAGTATAATCCCACAAGTGGGGTATGGGGAGGATAGTGTGTACGCAGACCTTACCCCTACCTATGGAGATAGAGAAGTTGTTTCCGAAGGCCCTCGGCTCAAGGACAATAGCAACAAGCAGTAACAACAGTCACCAGTGATATAGTAGAATAACTGAAGTGAGCAAAATAACAGGTAGAAATATAACTCCACGAACACAAATACAAGGCTAATACTACTGCCATGGGTATGGCAAAGGAATACACTCAACTACTCCCTAACCTCCTACGCTAATCTTAGACCTCTACACACCCCTATCCAGGGTCACGTCCTCCATAATAAACTCCATTCATAAGAAAATTGCTCAGCTTGTGTTATCAGTTCTAACCCAATTCTCCCATCTCTCTTTCAAAATCTCAATAGCAAGTGTGCTCTAGGGTAAGGATCTTAAATGTTCGGTCAAGTGATAGCTCCATCATTTAAGCTCAGAATAAAAAAGACGAACAGATACTCAAAAGAGTAAATTTAGCATTATGCTTCAGTAATTTCAGCAAAAAGCTTGAAAATTTTTTATGGCACGCTCATCAAAATCCACAAATCCCATCGAACCAGAAGTCAAAAGCAGTAAATAGAAAACCCAATTACCGTCCAATAAGTTGGAGGAATTGAGACATGCCATTGCAATAAGTGGTTTTGCCGGAACCAGGGGGGCCAATCACTACTTGACCAAACACCATTCTTCTTAGTTTTAGATTTTCCCCTCAAGTTCCTCCGCTGTGTAGTTCTGAGAAGCAAAGAGAAAAAGGTATTAAGTTTTGCCTCTGTTCTTCGATGGAAAATACAACTACTAAAACCCCAGCTGCCAGAGGTGGGTTTTAAGAAAACAGTAATTTACGAGAAGAAGGGGAAATAGGCGCGGCCACCCTAATTAGAATCGAAATGGGAATTCTTGGGATTTATGCTCCTCTTTTATTTTATTTTCAGCGGTATAATAATATTTATGGAATTTCTTTACTGCAGTTGTGTATATATATTGATATATTTAAATACTGTTTGATATTATAATATCTTTTATTAAATTAGCAAACATTTTAAATTATATCCATATTATATTAAAAGCACGAAGGCCCCTAACGAAATGTCGTTCGCCTTTTTTACCCTTTAAAAACATATTTTACATTGGACAATTGTAAAATAAAAAAACTTTCCTTATATTTAGGAGTTCTAAATAAAAAAAATCTAATATAATTAAGTGTTTGATATCTTCTCCTAATAAAGATACAATATATTAAAACATAAAAGAATACAAAAAAGTAGGAGGAAATTTTTTTGTTTGTTTCTAACAAGAAAACTTCACGTTTTTGTGTGATATTTTTGTTCTTTGTCCTTGTTTAATCATTAAGACCAATTTTACCTTTATTTTTCTTTCATATGATTTATTTGTTTTTTGAAAAATTAAATCATAAGTATTTTCTTAGAAGCTTGGTTGTTAAATTCGTTAAAATTTACTACGGCATTAGGTTTTGAAATAATAATTATTGTTGAAAAATATAGTAATC